CAGCCATTGGTTCCTTGGCGATACGACACCGATAGCGCTGCACATACTCTTCGGCTGCCGACGACGGATTCCTTTATGAAAGAGACGCTCGGCTGAGTTTAGTTAATCCGCGTTCAGAACCACATTTCTATACAAATAAGTTTATTTTTATGAGCTATTGATTTACTTGTTAGCCTCAACGTCTTCGATCACGCAATGCTTTGTTCACATAGACTGGTCACATTCCAGTTTCAGTTTAGGATAACACAGGATATTACTGCGAACAGGTTTTCATGAAATGCACATAATATTGATATGATTTTAGTAATGCATTGTTTTGAATCACATCTGTGAATAAACATGAGTTCAATATGGAATTTTTGTTGTTTCATATAATGTCCAAATCCGTTTGTATGTGCGGGGAATATCTTCACTTTGTGTATGTTATTCACCCTATCACGCCAAATACCAATGGTCAAAAAAGGGCACAAAATTTCGTGTACAGTGGGTTTACGGATAAGACCTCTCATCTTCAATCACGAATGAGCATCTCCCGTAAAGAAGAGTTTGAATCTAACATACCTCTTGTGCTATTTAACAGCGAGTTTTTTAAAAAAAACAAATCGACTAAAAATGCTGACAGAATAGGATTTGACAAAATGCATATCAATACTTAAAGGGTCGTCAGCTGTTGTCCACAAAAAACTTCCCACATTCTTAATGGGACAGGAGGTTGTCAATAAGACAGGCTACAGTACAGAAATGTAGCTGAGGAAAAGGTAGCTGCTGTCAAATGGAAAATATTACCGCAGTTTTTTATTCCGTGTCCATTTTTTTGACATGCTACCAGATGATAACTGCATTCCATACATTCCTTTCCGGTAATTCCTTTACTTCACCTCAGCCGGTTAGACATTTTCTCGGACCAATTATGTTTAAAATATGGTAAATAGTGCTTCTTAAATGCATGTTTTGTTTAATTTAAAGCACTATAAAGTTTGCGATAAAGTCCAGGATAGACGTCAAATAAAACAGCCACAAAATATTCGTGTTAGACAGTTTGCCGAGATTCCAGTGCATCTCTAATTGTTGACTTGATCCGTCCACATTTATTTCAAATATCAAAAACGGACATATTGCTGAAAAGACTTCAGTAAATCGCAGAAGAATGTATGATATTACACGAATGATTCGATAACTCATCGTGCCTAGTTGGACGCTAATTTTCCATTAATGCAGATGAGGGACTCAGCCAAAACACTCAAGTGAGACCAACGGTTCTACTGTTCATCAGACGGCCAAATTACCCACCCAGAGATAAGGTCCGTAAATGTCACATGGTGGAAACTTTCAAGATAGCTTTGATCACCGACCAGTAAACGGAAAGACTAGCCGACAAATCAAGGAGAAAACGAACCCATTCTATTAATTCTAATCAATGTTCAAACGAGTAGCCACCTCAGCTCAGTATGTCATGCAAATAGACTCACTGAAACAGCACCACCCAAAAAGTTGCTGAAAATTCTCCCAAAACACTCCTTTGGTCCTTACGGGTGACTCGGCTGAATTCCAGCTGAGTTTTTTGGCGATATACTGCGGTATCTCGAATACCGTACTAGCTGAAAAACGAGGCATCTTTTGTGTAGCACATTCAGTTGAAGACTAACAAAAACGAGAAATTCAGCTGATCCTCAGCCAAGTCGACCTCCAAAAAAAAACGATTTGAGTGCAAATAATTGTATTTTGACAAAAAAACCGCAGTAAATTATTCTGCGTCTAGCAATAGGGTTAAACGGCTTACTGACCATCCTTACTATTCACGTTACTAATGCACCTTCAACGTTATATAGTATGGTGAATATAACCTTGAGTATCAATTCCGATAAGCCAACTTTGAGGTTTCGATGTGACAATAAATTGACAAAGGCGCTGTTTAGGGATTGGAAATTCTGCTTTTTGCATTAAGGGCACAGGTATGTTTGATGTACTGCTAAATGCAATGTTTCTTATCGAAGGCAAAAAAACATAATGGAGATAATTTCCAACCATTTTTTCAGGTTTGAGCTAGCCTGAATCTGTAAATTTTTTTGTCAGTTGTTTAGGATGGTGAAAAGCTTGGGAAGGATTTAATGTAGATGTCACAAATATTGGTAGACACAAGAACTCCCCCCTCTTCTCTTCAGCGCCTATACTAGTGATCCCGAGGGTTGGTTCCAAAAAACGCGGAAAAACGCTAACACTCTGGTGGTTTACGGTTTTCGTCAATCGACCGAACAAAAATATGACTTGCGGCCCCATCAAATATTATTTTTAAGCATGGACACAACTGTTCCGTAGATGTGCATTTTCTTTTTACCACCTAACTCTCCTCCTTGTATCCATCATGGTTGGATCAGAAAAGTTTCATCAACCCATTTAAACAGTCTCTCAAAATGTCCTAAAACTTAATGATGACATTCCGTTTGACTCATAAAAATTGACAGTGGCGGAATCGGTATGGTAATGGATATTTTGCATGAAAAACAACTTGAGTGGCAGTTGGAAAAGTAAATTTTGAAGCTGATTCATCGGTTCTGAGTAGGTGATGCTCAAGTAATACACCGACTGTTTGAACATCTTGGCCACACATACAACTGACATATCTGCTGTCGTAGTGTTTACACCAGAAAAACGTCGTCAGGTCAGTGTAAGAGCTTCTCCACTCTTAACTCGTTGAAATACGAAGTGTTTACTAGAACACACCAGGTCACTCGTCCTCATCATCTTTGACAACATAACACCAGCGTTCAACGCTGATGCTTCGCAGCCTAACATCATTTATGTATTTGAAAGCCCTCTCCTGAAATATGAATGAATTTGGGTAGGGAAGGAAGTTAGTGCTAGCGCAATACAATCGGTGTGAGGTCTCTAAAACTTCAGATACCCATTCAGACCACCTGGATAGAAAATGACAACCACGACGCGATTAACATCGAATATCATCCATATCTTGTAGCTTCTTCAACAATGAGGATAATACGGACTCTTTCCTGTAAGGCGAGTAGCACTGGCAGTGGGTAGCTATTTGTTGATCGCTTTCAATTCCATCTGCCAAGTCTGTGCTCACGCCAGTCTGACCTGTATACGCTTAACAACATTCTTTTGGGTAGACGATTATTCAGTTCGCGCTATGCATGGTCTAATCACCACGACCTCCACCACCACCATCACAGTTTTTGGTGCTAGAGTCACCCTTGGATTAAAGTCCGCGTTGCACAACCAAACATTCACTTCCCAACTGTTTCTTTGCGGATTTGCCTGCAAAACCCCAATAGACTAGCTCACTAGGCACCAGGTCACTACGCAAAAGTGTGGTATACTTGAGTTTGCAACTGCTAACTAAAAGGTTGCAACATTATGACTGTTCTGTGGGGTTCGTGAGGACATGCACTGAAGGCGTGACATTCGGCAAGTGTGACACTGTATTTTGGAAAATTATCTGCCCTGAGCTACTCTTATAACTAGACAGCATATTACCAATGGTGGTTCAACACCTTTTTTGGTAGTAAAGTGGATATATTCTGCGACAAAACTATAAGTTTTCAACCTGAATGGACCGAATCACTACGTGCATAACAAATTAGCGCGGAGCAAGTCATACTGATGGAACCGCAAATTCTGGAGAATATGTGCATCTCTGGATCCTAAGTTATTTCCAAAATACCGGAGAAAAACGTTACAACCCCCTATAGCAAAGCTTCTTGTTACAAATCAAGTTAGTTTCACTTTATACTGGCTGTTCCTCTTCGCCACCATAACTCACCTCTTTTGTGAATGGATGAGGTCACTTCAGTGAATTTTTTATAGGTTTAGCTATGGGCTCAAAAATAACTTGGCGCGACCCACAAGTAATTTTTACTTGGTAAGGCAGTTTGTCACATTTTGTTTAGCTGGATGACCCACCCGATCTCTAAGTAGGTGATAACTAGCTGTGCCAGTTGCTATGATATCACTTTTCGGTACCATCAAGCAAACACCGTAGAGAATGCTTGAACTTAACAGTCCCCGATTTCATTTTTCAAAAAGCAGCTATTGTCATTTACACTGCTCTTTTGCTCCTCTCCAGGATATCTTAGCTTATAATCGGGTGATAGCACACACAGCCCTGAAGTTGTGTTTTTCCAGAACACCACCCACTTTGTGTTAGTGCGTAGCCGAATCTTCAGATGAAGTCAACGTCAGACGTCGTAGAATCTCCCATTTGGGTGATCCCAAAAAGTTTGAATGGCCTAAAATTAAGTTGAAGATCGCGAACTAGGGATTTATTTTATCAACACGTTAAATAAGCGTACTTTCAGTTACGTTCCCATATGAGAAACAAGATGGCTAAAAATGTGGAAATTACACCCATTGACTGAACTCAAAATTTATAAATAAAATAATAGTAGGCTGTCGAAAAGATTTCATCGCATTGTAAGTAGCAACTTACATAAAATTGTTATGCAAACTGGCCGTTTCCCCAATTGCTTATAGATAACCGAAACTGATGAAAGCAAGCGTGAGCCCTCTTGATACTTTTACTCATCAGAATAGTACTAAATTTGAATTGGCAATAACCTTAATGTTCTAAATAAATGAAGAGCATTGTGCCCGTTGTTGGGCGTGGGCGAATGGGCTTCCTTTGTTTTTGAGCTGAAGCTAAGAGCCTACGTCAACCAAGATAGAAATCACCATGCGACTACCAAGAGTGTTTTATCTCTTCCATTATGGAACAATCATCGAAAAGTCTCCTAAGGAGGTCAGAAGTTGTGATTGCTTACTTTTATTACGAATACCTAGACCGGTACTATTTTTATTGAGCACAACTCTAGGATACAGTGTGATTTATTTGCTTCAAAAATCCTCAATAAATAACAATCAGTTCACTTAATTTGTTCTCCTAAATTGCTTAATGCCATTCTACAGGTAAATAATATTGAATCAGGCATTTTTCGTTGGCCATCATCAGTTAAACGTTCTGAGACGTTTTGTTTTTTTTTCAGCGGGCGGGAATCCGATTTTGAAAGGTGCTGTGGTGTTATCGACATTTTTATGAGATCGTATCGTCGTTCTGAGATAAGGCAGTTTCCACCAATTGGACTTTCTTATGATCCTATAGTGAACTTATGGAATGAGTCTGTCGAACATTCCCATCAAACGACAGGTGTCAATACAATGCAAAACCAGAGACTAACATCTGCCCGATGCGTCCTCATGTCACCTATTATTACTGGGACTGCGGTGGGTGTCATGTCCATCGTGTCAGTTAACGCCTGAGTGCTAATATGTTTGCGTATGTGTTAGGGGATGGGAATCAATAGAATGCCATGGCCGAATCATCATCATCAGCATCATCAAAGACAGCAACATCAGTGCTGGCACTGATGCTTCACTGCCGTACCCATGACCGAATACCCGAGTCAGTGTGTTTGACCAGCCTCTGTGGAGTGCAGAAATCTGAGCAAGATTGTAGAGGACTCAACGACGATGCTTAATTCAGCTGCATTCTTTAGAGCCGCGGTTCGTTTACCCGATTTGAACTTCTGGATTTCTAGAAAATGCAAAGGATATAAGCGTCTCATTATCCGCGTCTTGTTGTATCGTGAAACGAGAATGGTCAAACCTCGTATGAGGGGTAATCGAAACTGACGCGAATTATCTTATCTGCGCCCTCAAAAGACTGTCCATAAATTCCAGAACGCCTAAAATTTAGGGTACTCTAAAAACAGTTAGACTATAGTGTAGAAAACTGAGGACCACCAATCTTTTGGTAAGTCTGAGTTTCGAAAAAAAATGCCGTGAACAGTACCAACCCACACAGGTGTTTTGTCACTCATTCCGTATTTTGGTAAAGTCATCTATGACTATGATAACTTAGAAGTTCATACAGAACTCCCAGCCTGGTTCAGGGCAGTCAGCGAATGGTTCCGATAATTTTTTGTTTTTATTCGTGGTTCCACAACGAGCTTTTTCTTCACTCCGTCACATTAAATATATGGATTACTAATATCGTTGACAACACACTGTTTTCCATCATTGTCTTCCAAACCTGTCATTATGAAACATCCCGGCATCACACAGCTAGACAACCAGGAGTAGTCACAGTCTGCTTCTGAATGCAAGGGAAGCTGCCTTGCCCGGTTTTTTAGTAAAAACGCAAAACTCCAACCGGTTAACGTTACTTTTTATCACCACGGATAAACTTTTGTACGCGACTCCTGTCCACGTTTGTACTTACGTAACCACCAGAATTCTGTAATTCCTAAACGATAAGATACACTTGGTCTTAGTTCATTGCTTGATCTCCTTTTCTACCGCTTCTTATGCTCAAGTCTCCCTTAGGATGCATTCACTTGCGTCGATTCACTTTTATCCCAACAGTTTACGTGTCCTTCGAACATCCACCCAAGGATTTGTCTGAGCAGACTTTCACAATGCACTCACTGCTGTTGGCTGATTGCGCACACTTGTGTTTTGAGGATATATGTTTTTGGCACGATTCCGTAGAACAGATGGTTGTCTTTCTACATGCTGTCACAGCTTTCACTCTCCTCCATAACACTAGGCAGTCTCAATTATTTATACGTTGCTGAAGCATAATGTACGGTGGATACAATAACCTTCCAATGTATTAAGTACCAAGGTCGACCCTACAAAAATCCTATCGATCACCCAATTTCTATTTGTGTCATAAACAAACGGAAAATCTGTGGTGAAAGTTCAAAAAGATCCAGCCCTGTGTCCCATCGGCCACTAGCTACTTGAACGGTGTGTACGCGAAATGATTTCAGTAAGAAAGAGGTGCTGAGCCATCCAGAAAACAATTATAGCAAACTGCAAAAGCATGAAGGAAGTTCCTAAGCAGAATCGATAATAGACATTTGACAATCGTAATGGCTACCTGGCTTTGACACTACCATATAATCTCGCCATAGTAACAAGGTGACTAAATTTTGGCAGCATACATTTTGGCAAGACATAGTAGCCAGAATGAACAAACTTGGTTGAAATAAGTGATTCTCCACTAAGAGCTCCAGTTTCGTGGCTGTGTAGCGTAACAAAGTCATTCCAGGTGTCCTATGAAGACATCGACTGAAGTTTACACCTGAACGCTTCTGGTCACAGAGACCCTAAAACAAAGAGAACATCACCTGTTCTTAATGGATCAAATTACTTCTTGAGATGAAAGTACATCCCATAGCACATGACTCTAATTTTGGAGTTTTCCTTCTTATTCCACAACGATAACCAAACAACATTCCTGAAGATGATTACCCAGCTCGGATTAACGATCGTCCGCTCTACCATCAATGAATGCAGCCGTGCTACCTTTATTCTCACACATTTCCATCCTTCAATTTTATCACTGTTAGGGTCTCTGCTATCATCTCAAAGAAGTCTGGTTGTAAGTGGGGAACCCAGACTATTTATTTCGCCAACCGAGAGACTCGGGTGAAACCAAATCGTTTTTTATAAATCCACATTGTTTCATACTGAATCACCGAAGGGTGGGTACATTGAAAATATGTGGATTCGAAGCAGCACATATATGAGTCCCTCAGTCAGTGATTTATGATTAAAATGCCATTCAAATAATACCTGACGGGTTTATGGGACTCAGTTTAACCGCTCCTGTGCGTGTTGTTTTGTTTGCCAATGACTATTTGCATACGCAACCGATGACCCCGGTCAAGTATTCTCTTTTCGGATACAAATTTTTTGAGGAAGGTGTACTAACTTATCGAAGAAGCACGTACAAAACCCTGGGAACGCTATAGGTCAAATGGTGATGATCAGATTTTCCCATATCATCAGCACCTTTTTAGACGAACAATAAATATGAGAATACGATAAAGAATGAAGGATTTGTAACTGTCCTTGGGAAGCTGGAAAACGGCTTCTTTTGTTAGGCTTCGAACAAGTTCAGACTGATGGACGCTAAGCTTATTCGGACAGGCAGAAGTGATAGTTGGAAAACGCTTAAAATCTACTAAGAGGTCATCGTTTTCGGGAAACTTGAGAAAATAATCATCAGATTTACTGCTGGACAGCGTTACACTTTTGACACGCGCCTTTTATCTCTTACTCGCTTGGCTGCCTGGGACCATCTTACCAGGGAAGATAGATAGGATTGATGTAGGATTACGGACTAGCTATACTCGGTGACCCCCGAAAAGAACAACTCCACAGCAGTCTGTCAGCTATCGTCTGGCACTAGCGTGAAGAATCAGGTTATCGTGGTGCTACAATGTGTCTTCTTAATAGTTTAGAAGAATTATGTACCGATTTTCTGGACTTTTCCTCTACAGGTATAGATTTTTTTAAGTAAAACCACACCCTTATCTTCCATCTTTATTGTTCAGTATAGCACCAGTGTTGGTGGCGGCGATGAGTTTGATGATAGTGATGGGCGTGTTCACCAGTACACAAAATGTAACGCACAATTTACTTAAGAATGCACCTGAACTCCCTAGGACAACCAATGTTCTCCTTGAGACCATTAACCCCACAACGGCACTACTGGTCACTCACTTAGAAGGACACGTTTAGACTGGTGACATCAGAACTAAAGGCGTACCATAAGAAATGTATGAAAACACGAACCGGATAGATCAGCTCACTAGCAAATCGCCGAGTTAACCACTAGTTACATAAAACAAAAGCTGTGTCAGCGCCTAACACGCTGAAGTGCGAATTTATTAACAGAGATATAACAGTGAACACAACCAGACTGAAATAAAATGTGTCTGAGAATACATGGTGTCCTGGTTGAATTTTACACACCCGTTTATCAGCAGGACATAGATTTCTTAACGTATTTCCCCGCCACCCCTGATACCCAAAATTGTTGCTGAGGTACCATATAAGAATCCCTGAGTTAGCAGCCTCATATATTTCGCAGCTCATATTTTTGCTGCCCTGTCAATGAGAAACAAGGGGAGTATCTAATGTGGCAACATCAGGAGAATTTCTATTCACAAAAGGGTTACGCTGACCGAATATTTGTGTCAACCCACAAGTTCAAGTGTCTTGCATAGCAGGAATTTGGCATTCTTTGAAAGCTGAAAGCATGCCAGATAAACTGCAAAATCTCACTAGAGCAAACAAACAAAGCACAACAGCACACATCATTTTTTGTTAGAGTGTAACGAAACCTGGCCACCCACATTTTTTTGAGCAACACCACATGTCATAGGCAATTGTGGGAAGTTAAAATAACCCAAGTCTTGATTAAAGTGATGAGTAAAAACCTAAAATATGAGTAGTCTATTTCGGCTTAAAGGGCCGCTACACTTCTCTGGTTGAAGCAGTAAAACATGCTTAGAACATAAAATTCTCAGGCACACTCAAGCGCACTTAGGATGGACTGCCGAATATCATCGCACAGCCCATGAAAAGTCTGTTCCTTTAAGTACTCGACTTCCACCATTTTTGAGCACTGCAAGAAATATGCGCCCGCATCGATAAGTAGAAGATTGTCTTAGAACTTCACTCGGATAGATGGAGACGCTCAGAAATTATCCCTTAAACTAACGACACCGCTCGACCCCTACTAGTACCAGCCTAGGATCTCTAAGCTTAGATCACCCTCAGAACAAGCGTCCTTGAGCCCTGCTTACGATGAGTACTCAAATGCCACAGAACGACAAAGAATCTTATAAAGTTGTCGGAGAGCAGTGATATGCTCATTAACGCCTTTTTAAGATGATCAAAGCGAGATGAATACAGTGGTTTAAGCAACAGCTTGCCAAGCGAATTCCAAAGTGCCTAGACTCTCCTTGCTGCCACTGCTTCAATCAATTTGACGTCACAATGCAGAAAACAGTTAAATGACCGGATTTCAACAGTTGTACCCCAATCTAAATTGATGCGTTTCCATGTGATTTATTAAACAATGCAAAAGCAGCTGATTAACGCTGTGCTCCAACACTACCAACCTGTTCTTCATAGGCAACGGCGACATGATGAATTTTGAGAACGAACTCATCCTCCGTCAAGAGAAGGTTGCCGTTAACCTAAAACCAAAAACCAATACCCTGTCTAGTTTATATGTAAGTATCAAATGAATGGGTAGAATATCGATTCAGCTACAGTCAATTTTTCGAGTGGCACGTAACCGAAAATGTTTCAGTGGGACCACTTTCGAATACGTGACTTCCCAAAGACCGGTCAATGTAGCCAATGACCAATTACACAAACTTCCCTTTTTCCGAAGACGCACTTTCTCACCTCTTTCAAAACGAATCCTTTTATGGTCTCATCCACTGGGCTTTGCACTGCCTTTCGACAATTTGTGATCGGTGAATGGACGCTAAAGTAGAACAAACACAGAGAAATCACCAAAATAATTAGAATATGACGTTTTAATCTTATACACCAGGAAGCAGTAAACTTGCAGTTTACGTGAGCTTCTTAAAAATGCCCATCACTAAATTCATAGTATTACACCACAGTATTTCTCCTCTAATCGGTTTGCAAGCTTCTTCATATATTTGTTACAATCAGGCAAGTGTTGGACATTGAGGCGAAACATTTTTTGCCTTCCCTAGCGTTATTCTGTGCAGAAAATCGTGTTTACAATACGTTTCCCATTGCAGTGCACCTGTAAGGAATGTGAACCGACCTGTGAAGGGTGCGATGCAAATAGAATCACTATTATATGTTTGCTAGAGGTTGTAGCTATGCACACTCACACAGTCAAAAACGTACACACATGCGCGTGCACTCCAATAGCTTTAGTACCCTCAACAAAAGTACCAAAACCCATCAAACCCCATCGAGATTGGCATGCAACATTTTGTGGTTTGTCAATGAACCGGACGGCTGTAAAAAGTGCTCGAGAAACGCTGCAATAAACACGCGGCAGAGGGTGACAGGCATTCCATCAGTATTCCATTCACTTATCACATTCTATGTAATGTACTAACATTTGGCGGATACATCATCCACAAAAAACGAACATTCGAAGACTCGCAGTATGAGAGTATCGATAATAACAAGATGAAAACACCAATGTGCGCGGGAATTTGGTCAAGATTGAGGGGCAAGGCATTGCGAACAAAGAAACAAAAACAAAGTAGCGACTGTAACGACCAAGCAGGAAATCAAGACCGTCACTGGTTTTGGAGGTGAAGTACTCGTGAACGAAGGCAAAGGAATCGTTTTTGATACCGAATATTCGCCGACAAGAAAAAACACCCCATAGAAACCTACTTTCACCATGCTAGATATGTGAAAGTGGCACGGCACAAGTTGAGACTGTCCGGGGATCAGAACTTTCGTATTCTACATGCATTCAAACACAGCGCATGAAATGAACCTGTTAAGTACGTTTCAGTTGAAGGCCTTGATTTTCCCGTGGAGGTGGAATTGCGAGGTGTGTTTATAAAGTGGAATCGGACAGAAGAATCCTGAAAGCAGCCCTGAAGATAGTGATATAAAATACCGAATTTAAATCCTTTTGACTTGAGCTTTCTCGGTACTCCAACCATCGCAGTGACCAGTCCACTGAATCAGAAGTACGCGAGCGAGCAACCAAGCGAGGAGTGAGCAAATAAGTAAGCAAGTACGTCTGGTACCATTCTGTTCACAACTCACCTCAGCGAGTATTGACTTGTTTCAGTGTCCTCAGTTGAAGCGTTGGGCTATCCTCCTATTTAAATCTGGCCTCTGAAGAGGAAGTCTAATATTTTTAGCCTGATATAGTAGCAATAGAATGGTAGTCCAGAAATAGTGTCAGATTCGAGCCATGAAATAATCACACTTTCAGCTGTGGTCACCTCTTTTGTTGAAATTAGTTGCGATGAGTTCAGCCGGGTCAAGTCTAGCTTTTTTCACCTACGTACTTTACTCTAGATCATCCAGGGCCTGAAATGGTCCGGGAGTAAGTCAACTTCAAGGGTTATTACAACACCAAGAGTAGACGGTTTAGTAATTGTTTCAAAATCAAAATAATGAGGTTGAGATAGCTCAGAATTAAAGCACGAAACTGATCCTGGCTTTTCTGCATCTCAAGTTTTTATGGCCGAGCAATATATCATATCTCTCTTGGGCGCCGTGGCAACAATGAGCTGGAAGGATTCAACCACTAAATGGCTTTAATTTATGACGAATATTTTTTAGCTCCATCTGATCATACTCTCTTATGTCTGACTGCTGTCCACGCTCCAGTGCCTTGATGCCGGAAAAAGACTCGCCGATTAGGAACACATTTGCTTTATTGCAAACAAGAAAAAGCGATATTACAACGGTCTAGGGCCATATTTTGAAGGGAACTGTTTGACTTTGATCTAAGGCTGTCCTATTGCTATATTTTGAAAAACACTGTTTTGACCGGGCCCAAAGCTGCCCGATTGGCGTTTAGAGGAGTTTGAGGGTCCCACCAGGTTTTGAGTGTTCTAGGACAATCTTCAGGAATATGACCATTCCGACGCCTCCCGTTTTGGCCATTTACAGTAAGGTTGTTGGCACGGATCAAGTTGAAAAGGTTCCACCAATATTCCAGCGCGATCGGTACGGCGTCTCGTTTGAAGCAATGGATGTGTCTTGGGTGGTACATGTGGAGCAGTGGCTAATAATGGTCTTTGGAGATCCTAGCCCGCCGTAGCTGATTAACATGCTGTTTCCATATCAACGATCCCACCCGGACGCTTTAGATCACCTGACCGATTCTTTTGAGGAAGACTCCAGCAGTCTAGTTTGGGTACCCGGAGCGATTGTTCCTCACAAACACACGGTTTCCAGACAGAAACTTTTGCTTCCCTCCTGCTGATGCTGATAAGCATAAGTTGCGTATCAGCAACGTAGAAAGATGCAAATGATCGATCCAGTTTACGCCCAACAGTTTAAGCCCATAAGCAGCAAGACAAACAATACCCCGATTACAGTGGCCTGCTATCTCCTTCTCACAATCAGATTCACCTAGCAATTGGAGCTTACCTCCTGATGCAATTCTAGCGATGTTCATTGTCGGTCCGAACTTCAGTGGTCTGATCTTCCTCTAGGTGCACCGGGAAACACTCGTAATATCGAAACTCATGTTGAGCCGCAATTCAATTATGCTTCCGTTTTCTCTGATTGCAACATAATTGCGACGAGCGTCAACCTGCTTATCACAAGTATTGCGTTAAAGCGGGCTTCTGACTGGTACCGTCTTCTCTGTGGCCTTCGGGTTTGAGTGCAGCATTGGCTAGCTTTTTGCGTCTGATACTGGCATTCCTTGTGCTCACGTGCACACTAAAATTTGGGCTTTCTATAAAGGCACAATTTCACAAAATACCCATCACCGCATTACCAGCATGTCGACAGGGACTTTGCTTCGTTCGGATTTGCCGTCATGAAATGTTGCCTTGGAGTCGTCTTGGCAAGAGTAAAAGCACGGTTGGATAGTGGTCTCTACAACATGACCGCGTCACGTTTGAAGGACCAAGAGGCGCTGGCAAGCGTGAGTAGTAGACCGCAGCGTTACCTCGAACTATTGTACAGTCTTGCTCAAAAACCTCGCTCTGATATCACTTCCTGAATGCGACTGAAGGTCACATATGAGAATGAGAAACTTGAACTGGTCTTCCTTCATGGTAGATGATTTGAATTTTTCACATTCAATATTGTCGCTATCGGCATAAGTTTTATATTCTTCAGATTCGATTTCTTCTAGTTTCACACACTCATAGGTTTCAAGACTGAGATTTCGCATATTCTTTGGTAGGATGAAGTTGGAATACCGTGTGTATTCCGTCGTGCCAAGCTTTCTAAGCAATAAGCATGCGCTATATGCATCCTCTTTGGGCTTCAGTTCGAATTTGAAAATAGCTTCGTGATGTTTAAACCACGAATCGAAGGTGATATTAGCTTCAGGGTCATAGGTGAACTCCGTGATGCTGTTGGCGATCGAGTTGACTGAATCTGCAGCTGGAGTCAAGGTTTTCACCAAACGTATTTGCGCCGCTTCAGACTGATTTTGTTGCTGCGAATGGTCCTTCAACGCTTTAACAGTCAATGTCTTGGTTTCGTGCGTTCGGCAGTCAGCAATCTGTTAGATATGATTGCTGTCCTCGCTCCGGTGACTGATTGCCGAAAATAGAGTCGTCGACCAGGAAGCAACCGCTTTAGTCCAGGTACGCAAGTGCGAAATTACAACAAACTCGCGCTATATTTCGGAGGGTATTGTTTGACCTTGATCCAAGCCTGTCTGAATGGTGATTAGTTGAGTGTGTCTCCCAGTTTGTTTCAGATATTCTGGAATAATCTTCAGAAATTTAGCTTTCCTGACATAATCAGTTCTGCCTTCGTTCCTTCGGTCGAACGCCCTAAGAGGAGACAGGAGACTAGCAGTTCTGCAACTAGTCGTTTTTGTGAAAAAGTCCAGCATTTGCCACGGATATTTTCATTTTTTCACTAAAGACAAAGCACCTTCTTATTCACATTATTTGTTCACTGCTTTCAATCATTTTAAGCGAACAAATCACAATAAACCTTTGTGATCTTTACCGATACGTTGATACCTCCTTTCGCCTTCAGCTTCCTGGCTGATTAATACGTCTATCTTATTGAAATGCCTTGCTTTCAGATGAAGTACCTCTGCTTTCTTCCTTGAAATAACTGATCTTCGGTATACCCACACCCAAGTATTGACGAGGAAGTAAGCAATTAGTCTCACTGTATGTTTTATGTGCCTGAAATGCAAATCAGCCCGCAAAATTTAACGTAAAAGCTTTCCGATTTTATCAGAGAAAACAAACTGCCCCGCGGGCCTAAGAAAAAAGCAGATGATGATTTTTAGACACAGCACAAGTTTGAATTTCTACCGTGTCTTATGCCCTATCCTGTATAGTGCACTGAGCCTGGTCATGTTCCCATCACTATAATTTTCTAATTTTGCTTCTAATCGTACAAAAGTAGAGTTATATATTCATTTACAGATTCAGATGTTGACAGGAAATCAAAACAAATCCGGTCTTTACGGGATTGTTCAACTGTATGTGCTGTACAAAGTTTTCCTCTTGTTTTAGTTGGCACAATGTTCGACTATTTCTAGTAGACTTAGTTCTCATGTCTCCACCTGTTTTTTGAGCTTGAAATATTATCTAATCCAAACTAGGCAAGACCGTTCATCTTAGATGAACATGCACTCTGAGGCCATCCTTCGGTCGACCACTCAACGCACAGAAAGCGGCTCCCGTTTGAAGTCACCTGAGTCTATGCACCTCGGCATAATCAGTTTCATTCCTGAAATTTCTGCAACTGTCTTACATTAGAATTATTGTGCACGTTTTATGCCTATTTCTGAAGCGTTCTACCCAGCCTTGGTGTACTCCTGTTGTCAGAACCCATAAATCAATATTGTTGGACATTCGGGTCATTACGGGCGCGTCCAATAATTCCATAACAGTTTTTCTGACCGCTTGTTCAAGCAGACTTTCCATTTGTGTTTAACCAATGTTGAAACAACTGTTAATGTACCCTGGCCATTCTCCATCTTTGCTGATTCCCATAACCTCGACGTTTTGTTCGGTACATCCTGTATGTTTAATGTGGGCTGATCGAAATTTTACTCAAAGGATACTGCCGAACATACCATCTACAAAGGTAACCAGAACACTTATTATGATTTTAATGATGCTTGTCGACCATATCTAACATCGCTGTAGCGAATTTAAGTTGATCATGCATGTAACTCCGGATAATGAACGTATTTAGGCGTTCCGTTAAACTGGGCCCAGGTTAAGTGTTAGACCCACCGAGCATTAAAGCTGGTCCGGTCAACAAACTCGTTCTCAAATGGATACACGAACGTACACTCTTTAGCCCTGCGTTCATAACCCACTGTGACTAATAAGGAAATTCCGATGTTCACTTACCAATATCCGGTCACGAAGTTACCTCTATGTGTCCCCAGAATTCAGGTCACCGGTTGGTAAATATGCAATTTCGAAAAGATTCAGCCAGAAATCATTACTAACAAAAATTTACTGACCCTAGTTATTAGGTGTTAGATTCACAAGTTTTGAAGTCTCTTACAATGAGTTTTCTCTACGTGCTGCCATTTTGAAAAATTTATCGACGAAATACTTGTTGCACCTGACAAATGGGAGACAAATCAGCTGACACAGTAAATCATATATTAATGATGATCCTAGCAGACAGGAAACGCGCTCAAAGATGGTTGCTATCAGAGGCTGTCTTTTGGCACCAAATAACGTTTTTGGATTTGAGAACTTTCGGGTGCGAACGCGTTTTGAGGGAAAGAGAGCATCGTACATGGATGGTTNTACATGGATGTTTGCTCCTGGCCACTTTCGACCCCACCTGACCTTTAGGGGATATCTGATCCATTTAGGTGTTTTGCAAACTCGATGGTCTCAGCGGGCCAAGTAATCTATTCCGTATTTTAACACATCATCAGAATACTTGAACTTTAGTCTCCTTAAATTTGATGTAAACGCCATAAGAAGTTGACCCAATCACATGCATTTTATGGTCTTATTACTATCCTTTTGATATTTATCTGTAATGTTTTAATATTTCTGCCGAGAAGTTCCCACGGGTAAATAAACTAATCACTCAAACCTACAATGATTGACGTCCCAAAGCCGAATACAAAGCAGACTTTTCTATAGAGGACGGTGTAGGACAATGAATTGTAACCATTGGATTAGACAGGCGTTGCACACTTGCATCGCTGTGTGTAGAGATGGGTGGCTTGACCGTAAATAAGTTGCTTTCCCGGCATTTTGATTAGCTTGCGAAACTTTGCTTAAAAGCGAGCCGCCCATTGAGCTATTCCAATGCTTCGATGAACGAGCGGAAGTGTACAGTATTTGGAATAAACACTTCAACCAGTGGTCGTAAACACCAGGTTTTTAAAGTTTCGCTACAAAGAATTTTCACCGTTCAGCAGCAACACTTTCACTCTATAGCGACCTGAAACAAGCATGGGTATAGGTAATTACAGCCCGTCCCAGCACGGAAATGAGTGATCATAAAACCATGGTTTGATTCGTCTGACTCCAACGGTTCGGTTGGTGAGCTGCTGCCCTAATCGTTGGGTTATCTCTAGCTCGCTTCGCTGCAATTTGACAGTACTGGAGCGCTAACTACAGTTTGACGGACGGGCCGTGTAGCTCATTCTGATCAAATAGCAACCTATCTCAATAAGCTGGAACAAGTTTAAAACCGACTGAGAAGTTTGCTGAAACCGTGAAACGCGACCAGATTGTCCAGATAGGAGTTCGCTACCAGTCTGATTTCCGCAGGAGATCCAATCCTGTAAGTCGAAATAGTACGCTATGATCATTCTAACCGACCACACTGGGATAACTCAAGCTGGAAACACTTGACAGTTCGTACAATGAGCTTGATGTTGGTTATTTCGGATCCATGCGCTGTAAATTTTCGCCATATATTCTGTCCGTTGCCCCCTACTACCAGTGCCTGACGCGGTTGAAGGTGACTCTGAAGGTATCACATTTGCTGCTGTATACTCAGTTGTACATTCGTTTGACATTGTACGCTATGCAATATCTGAAACATAGCTTTTCCAAATGATGGGGATTATATATTCGATTTCATTAGGCTCTGGCCAGAGTTCAGTCTTTGTACGTCGACAAGAACACACAGACTTTGCTCTTGTGCCTTTCACTGACTTTCATAAGCTACACCCTTCACACCGAGAATTTCGTAGCACTCCCACCGTTGTGGCCCATTCAATAGTTAAGAAGTCTAGCGGTGAAAACAATGTTGGTGCGAGAATTACTGACCTTGCAAAGGACACAACCGCGTCTGTTACCGGATCTCACAACTGCACCCGAGAACGGCGCATGAAACTGAGAAATGCAGATGAAACATGTAAAACATCTAAGTATTTCGGGTTGAGGAACCACTTTATGAAATGCTCGCAAAATAAAGATTGATGACAGCGAAATTGACAAGGATGAAAAATCACATTTTGGTTGAATTCATGGGACGTAAATTATGATAGAGTGAAATTCTTAACAGTTATTTGAAGTCTTTAAAAGCAGGTAAGTCGTTGTGCAAATTAAATATACATTAGGCAGCATCACAATAGATTAAATCATAAGAATGATGGTTTTTCAAGATGCTTGTTCCCATTTCTCCAAAATCTCTCGTGACAGCAAATTAATTTCATATTTGTGCATCCACTCTCTTGTCTTCTTTTATCTCAAACGAATTCAGCAACAATTGTACTGCCACAGTTATTTTCCTCACAGAAGGGTGATCGCTTGCTTTCCCTCAAGGGAAGCACTTGGCCCTGGCAACTGAAAACCCTCTCCAATTTTTCCTAAACTGGAGGCAAAGACGTAGAAGATTTTCGCTCAGATTTTTTTCGTAACTGGCGGTTCGTATTACTGAACTGTATTTTACTGACGAGGAAGGGGAGAATAAGGTCAGTCTGGATTTCGGTTGGCTCTTGCGGTGTCGTTCGGACGGTGTGAGAACTAAAACGGATGTGGAAAGCAGGAATGTTTGACCTGAA